AATAGTATAGGTAATTCTTGCGGCCCCCTACATTATCATCACCATTCCGCTCCCCCTCATCGTCGTCACCATCAGTAACTTTCCAACCGTCATCCTCACCACCACCGTTATCACCATCTTCATCATCGTCATCACCTTACCACCGGCAGCATGTAGCATCAGCTGCACTAGCCATCAGCAGCAGCAGCAGTTGTTCAACAGCAACCACAACAACTATTATGAGCATTGTCGTCGTCGTCGTGGCCATCACCCTGAAAATCACTATCGAGGCCAGCATCATCCAATAGTCATCTGATCACCATCACCATCGTCATCTCATCACCATCACCATCATCACCATGATCATCATCACCATCATCATCATCACCATCATCATCATCATCACCATCATCATCATCGTCCTCGTTGCTGCCATTGTCGGCAACATCATTCCTGCCCTCACCATCAGCAGCCAGCACTGAAACAACCATACAAAGATCACAATCACCACCACCGCCGCCGCCACCACCAAATCGAGCAGTCGCACGAGTAGCACCCGCTCTGCACCAGCACCAGCATCATCATCAGCACCAGCTGCGACCATGGAATTACCAGCCTCACCAACACCATCATCAACTTCATCACCACCTTCATCGTTCTCATCCTATCGTCAGCAGCAGCGCCAGCATTGCTGTCAGCATCAACACCGCTATCTTCGGCAACAGTATGGCCGCAATCATCCGCGCCATCATCATAATGATGATTGCTTACGCCGTGATGATGATGATGATGATCGTCTGGAAACGCACAATCAGAAACAGCATCTTCGTCACCATCACCAACAGCGACATGATCATCATCGTCGCCACAGATATCGTAATTCTCGTCATGTTCGAATTATGATTCGTCTTGTTCTTCGTCATCATCGGCCTTCTTCTTTCTTCGCCTGATTCATGAATATCGCCACGGTCATCATCATCGTAACTACTCACTTTTTTGTCGTCTGACAGTGCAAACTTTATCAAGGCGTGAACCTTTCGATGTGTGATGCGCGGGTGCATGTAAGCTCTGAGACCTTGCCAACATGTCAACAAAGCCTTGATGTCAACATCGACGCCACACGACCACACTTCTGAATCACTACTTCTGTTCTCTCAGAGTCTGTCGCTGCTCTGGCCCTGCTTCTTGTTGCTCTCTCGCACTCTGTCTCTCTCCTCTTTTGGTACATCATGCGACAACTGTCCTGAAGATAAGACAGTGTTGGCCATCTGGGGAGTGGAGCGCACGGCAGAGGCCACTGCCACCAGGGAGGCGATCAGCCCGAAGACTGCCATGGTCGAAAAGTGTTTAGCAAAGAAGCCACGGATTTTGGAATGTATGGCTTGAGCCGATGTCAGACATACGACATGTCAGCCTCGACGGTTTAGGGTTTAGAGTTTAGGGTTTAGGGTTTAGGGGCTTCTTCTGTGGCGAAAATATAACATGCTCTTGGGGTGAGTTACGTTTTAATCGGAGCACAGACACAAAACAAAAAGTATGCCACCAAAACCCTAAACTCTAAATCCTAAATCTCCAACCCCCAACCCTATAATTTTTGTGTGCCTACCAAAAAAACTCAATGCCGCGCGACGCGCCAAGGCTCTTGGATAAGCTCCGGCTTTCCTGGTTTAGGGTTTAGGGCACAGGGTTTGGGGTCTAGTGCACAGGGCTTCGGTTTTAGGGTATAGGGTTTAGGGTATATGGTACAGGGTTTAGGGCCTATACTATAGGGCTTAGGGTTTAGGGTTTAGGGTTATGCTGTCTCCCTGGTTCTTTGCTACAAGGGCCTTCATAATATGGATGGCTCTCTAAAGTGACATTCCAGGAGGGCAACCGGAAAGGTATGTCGATCTTCCAGTCCACAAACACAAGCTGCCCTGACAGTTTGGGCAGGAAAATGACATAAACTAACTCTGCAGAATGATACCTATTAGGAACTACGTAGGGGTTGAGGGTTTGATAAACGAATGCCTGTTAGGAATGATATAAGGCCTACGGCTTTAGGGCTTTATCAACGAACTCTATGGCAGATCCCCGAATCCCCGAAGAAATGACCTGGCATTCAGGCTCCATTCTCCCCAACTCCAACACCCCTTAATTAAGGAGTATACCTTAAATTATAGTAGGATCCCGAATATTTAGGGTATAATCCTTAGTTAAGGGGTATTGGAGTCTACGGGTTATCCGCTGGTACAGCGAAACGTATTGGGGTTAGGGCTTGGGGATCAGGGTTTCTTCAAGGTTCCAGGTTGAGGGGCAAGGGTTGATTTTTGGTCTTAAGGACCAGGGCCTAGGGCTTATGTGGGTTTGAGGGTTTAGGGCTCTTTTGCCGGCCAGGTGTCGTAGCAAATGTCGATGGCCTGGCCGTGGCAATGCTGGGAAGCTAAATCGCAATTGGTATGCGAAGTCGCGACGAGAACGACGCCCTACCTACAGCAACCAAGGCAGGGTTTAGGGTTTAGGGTTTAGGGTTTAGGTAAGCCATCATAGTCTAGGAAATGGTGTCTTAACTCTGAACTTCAGCAGCTCAGCATACACCGAGTCCTAGGCTTTTTCGTGGGCCGCTTCAACGTGAACCTGTATACGGTTTAGGGTTTAGGGTTTAGGGTTTAGGGTTTAGGGGTATATATTGGCATAGTTGAGGTGACACGAGCCATCCGAGATCGAGCGAGCTTCTGAGGCGTCGGACCTAGGAACCCATAGACTCCAATACCCCTTAATTAAGGAATATACCTTCAATCATATTAGGGATCCCTACTATAATCTAAGATATATTCCTTAATTAAGGGGTATGGTATTGGAGTCTCTGGGAATCATGGCCGGGCTGCACATTGGCTCTTCAAGCCGCATCCCACCGCACAGTACCGCTCCAGCCATAAACAGAGACACCTTACCCAAAGGCTCCATGTACCTTGATAGTAGATACTTAAGCCTTAAAGGGGTCCCTATATAGGTACTTTAGGGTATATATACTATATGGGTACATGGAGCCTTAGGGTTACAAAATAAAAACAAGTGCGCGATTGACAAGCACAACTCACAATATCAGGAACTCCTTGAGGGAAACCACATGTAGCAAACCAAAGTGCCGACACAACCCAGGATCAGCATGGTGCGCGAATCTGAAAGAATGCCTCAGTGAGTGGGATGCACCTTCGTGCGCTACTTCTTGGATCTGATACAACAGGCTTCTGCAGGCTTTGTAATCTGGTAAAATATTGGCCTTCTCATATGAACATAATACCATAGAAAAGGAGTTTTGGAGTATGTTATAGTATACTGACAACAAGGAACCCTGAGGACCAATGTTGGCATGAAAGAATAGTTCAGGCGTCTAAATCAATCTGTAGCATCCTGGAGTACTGAAGGAGACCTGCATCCACCCTAGCCCTAAACCCTAAACCCTAAACCCTCCGCCAGTGGGACGGTCACACGGTACTTCAGAACCCAGATCCTGTGGGAATCGTACTGCAGATGGGATGCTAGGTGTACCCATAGGCCCCATAGTAGTTCCTTTTTGGGATTATGACATAGATTCTAAATATGAACCCCAAAAAGGAACTACTATGGGGCCTCTGGGTAACGTGTACTAGAGTTTAGGGTCTCGGGTTAAGTGGACCAAACCCTATAAACCCTAAACCCTAAACCTTAAGCCACGCAAACTCGGGACTCGAAGCGCCTCATCGAAGGCCTTCGTGGCCTCCCCGAGCTCTGCGCGATGTGTCTGTGCTAAACCTCGGCTAATGTAGAAGCCTTACCCTAAGGGTCCATGCACCCAAATAGTATATACATTGGCCCTAAAGTACCCATATAGGGACTACATTAAGGCCAAAGTATTATATGCTATTTGGGTACATGGACCCTTAGGGCTAATTAATTAGAAAAGGGTTTTGGGGTATATTATACTGTACATAGACTAAGGCACCCCTAAGAATAGTATAGGTAATTATTATAAGGCCCCTATAGTACGGTCTTAAGCGGCTTTCTGAGGGATTCGGGTCTTCGGGCTTAGTTTGGGTCCCTGGGCTGGGGCTGCTACTTGCTTCAGGGCCTGCCTTAGGGTTTAGGGTTTAGGGTTTAGGGTTTAGGGTTTAGGGAATTACCCCTAAGGCTCCATGTACCCATATAGTATATACCTAGGCCTTAAGGTACCTATATAGGGACCCCTTTAAGGCTAAAGTTTCTACTAGAAAGCTACATGGAGCCTTATGGAACAGGGTCTGGGGCTTCAGGGGTCTAAACCCTAAACCCTAAACCCTAAACCCTAGGCCCTAAGTTGCCCCTAACACTCTCAGCGTGAGCACCAGCACCCAAAAGTAGTCCCTAAGGGTCCATGTACCCAAATAGTATATACATTGGCCCCAAAGTACCTATATAGGGACTACTTTGAGGCTAAAGTATATACTATTTGGGTACATGGACCCTTAGGGAGTTTTTTCCTACTGATAAAGGTAACCTATTGGTATAACATGCTGTGATTATTGCCGTACTCGGTATATATATATATATATATATATATATATATATTTGTAGGCTAAGTTATTAACGTACCCAAGTATGTCAAACTCCGTAGCTCCGAAAGCTGAGCCCAGAGGACTTCATGCGAGTTGCCAATGTTGCGAGAAAGCTCGCCGCCTCCCACCGTTCCTGCACGTGCCGGGCACACGGGAGGGTGCAGCCAGGGATGTGGACTAATTGGGCGTTGACTCGTGCAAGGGCTTGTGTAATGCATGACGCCGGTGATGATGATGGCCTGATGGTGAGGATGGTGATGGTGATGCTGCTGTTATTGTTAAAGGAGAAGAAGCAGAGAAAACAGGCTGTTAGTCACAAAATGCTGCTTCTGCTGGTCATAATAACCCACATGAGCGTGATTCGTCGTGGTCATGTTCATGATTTCAAGCTTTTCACGTATCATGGTCCAGAGAGGATGATGGCTATTCCCGTTGTACTATTGCCTTTACTTATGACGACAAGGACCGCAATAATGAAGCGCCTGCTAGGAATATTCATGATGTGATGGAGACAATGACGTCAAAGAGCTGATAAGAGGTCGAATGCTTTTGGTGCTGATGAGCTGTTCGACGTTGGCGAATATGTGTTACTGTGTTACTGAGAATCTTGATGACGGTGACGACGAAGACAAGCATGTCGCCATCTTTCCGACAAATAGAGCCTGTCATGGGGCTGTTCGTGCCTTCGAATATGCTACCGACAAAGACGTTCGTGGCAGCAGAGTGGCATGCCAGCGGCCGAGCTGCAACAACACAAGTGGATGGAAGGATTCTTGCCAAGTATACAGGTACTCTTTGAATAGCTTTCTCATGTTGCCAGCATTTGGTGTGGTGCTGCTGTTGCGAGGGCTGTCTTCGGACAGTCCACGCCATCTAAGGATCCCGAGGACAAAGTGAATAATGTAGGGGCCTTAATAGTTCGAATCGGGTTGTGGGGTGTATAAGACTATATGTATATTAAGGAACCCCAAAGACCAAAGACCCTATACGGCCCCTACATTAGAACCCTCTTATTTGCACTGGAATCCAAGTGCGGGGGCCCCCATTAAACAAGCAGAGTCACAGATCCACACAACATCAGTGATATAGGAGCCTAAATCATTCCCTACACTATTTTGGGGGTTCCTTGTTGTAATTATAGTATAAGATACCCCCAAACCCCATTCTGTTTATTAAGGCCCCTATATCAACCCTAAGCCCTGAAAGCAATAGTAATGGACCTCGCTCTGGAGGAACGCTGAGCCCAGATCTTTCCAAAACCCCCTGAATCAAGGAATGGACCGTAACCCTAAGGGTCCATGTACCCAAATAGTATATACATTGGCCCCAAAGTACCTATATAGGGATCGGTTCACCAGCTGTCTCATCACCAGGAAATATAATGACTCCCACCACCTACATGAGCCACCTGGTAATCGCCTTCTGTGGGCTACATTTTCTTATTAGTTTAGTTCTTTGCTTCATTCTCAATTTCATGGAACGTAAGACCAAAGAACTAAGATTATAAGAAATATAGCACCAGAAAGCCACACCAACTAGAACCGGTAACCGTGGGTCGCTTCCTCCACTCACTTCCTTTATTTTTCCCATTTGTTTTAATTATTTGTAAAGAAGAGAAACGTATGCACGAAATAATTAAACAAATGAAGCAAAATAAAAGAAGTGGGGGTGGTGGTGTTCTCTTCATTTTCTCGTTCTAAATTTCTCGTCCTTTGTTCCTATCGTTTATGTTTTAATTAACTCTATCCCCTTATAATTCATTAAGACAGCCCTGTTCCTGACGTTCATGCTCTTGGAGGACAAAGGAAAAACCATGCTAAAGAACCCGAAAAATGAGGAACAATTAATGATTTTTGGGGCTTTTATTTAATGTGAAAAGAAATGGAACGGAAATCGCTGGCTTCTTTCTTACTTTTGTGCTTCGTGAAAGCTTTAAAGGTAACAGGCTGTTGGTATAAAGAATTAGAAGAAAGAATAGAATGAGGATCAGTTCCTGTGTTTCGCTGTAGCCCTTCATCATGAAAGTTACGCTCACGTGATCATCTTTATCATCTAGTGAAGCGATAGAAACCATTCCTAGAGACCCAAAAACTACAGCATTAAAGAAATGACAAAGGAATTATGCTTTTTTATGAGTCGCGAAAGATATAAATGAGAAGTAAGAACCATTCCTAAACCTATAAGAAGCGAATTAATGAGCGTGGTGGTTCTTCGTTCGTACAAGGAAAATCCGTTCGTAAAGAGCAAAATAAATTAAATCCAGAGGAGATAATAATGATGGAACGTGAAGGGAATTAATTCTTGGTTACAGCTTCATTCACGACACCAGCGACAAGCGATTCTAATAAAGGTAAAGAAATAAGGAAAAGTAAAAGAAGTTATCATGTGAGAAGCATAAGCTAAATTCCTACAAAGAACACCTGCTATAACTTAGCTCTTTACTACCGCACATTGACAGGAAATCGCGTATCAGTTCCTCCTAATGTAAATAATAGCATGAAAGTGAGAATTTTGCTGCTTTAAATTTACGTATTTTGCTAGATTTTTATGCGTGCTTGACTTTTCTTTCTATAATTTAGGTCTTTGTTAGTGACTCAGAAATTCATCCAGTACGAACCGACAATAATTAAGAGAATTCATCACATTCAGGCGGTTACGTTTGCTCTTTTAACACAACGTTCTTCTCGGTTAGACTTGTAATGTAGAGTTTAGGCGGTTTCCCTTCATTGATAGGTGACCAGAAATTATAGCTCTTATCTAGTGCTTCTATCCTCCGCTTGTGTGGTTATCTCAATTAATTCTAGGGAAATCTGGTTCTCTTCACGAATTACCTTAGACTTTTAATTGTACAAGAATCTTGGAATTTTGGGGATCATTTTCTTGGAATTTCGGGCTATTTGGGTAGGACTGCCATGCGCTGTAATAAAAGACCTAGATTTCCATGAATAACCAAGAATTAGGACCGGCTATTACCTATCAAAGTAACCGAAATGTAACCACCTACCACATAAAGGAGACAAGGTAATTTACATGGAGCCATGTGGCCCTGATTGAGAGAACGCAACATGGAATAAAGCATCCTTATAAGTTCTGGTAAGAAAAAGAGTTATGGCCAGTCGGTATGTATATGGACAGGTCAATGTATTTATATGCATTTTGCTGCAGATGTATACTTTTATTCAGATATATGTATACATATATATATATATATATCTATGTATCTATATTTCATAGAATCTGTCATTACATGTGTATATATATATATATACGTATGTGCATATGTGTGTATGTATGTATGTATGTATGCCGGCATGCAAGTATGTATGTGTGTATGTATGTATCTATGTATGTATGTATGTATGTATGTATGTATGTATGTATGGGACTTCCATTTGTGTCTCCATGTTTCGAACCATGCCATTTCCATGAAGCCATGGCCCATGCCGATGGCAGAAGTGGCAAAAGGCAGAAGAAGCTGCAGGCCCTGCTGGACTTTCAGGGCGGGCTTCCTGCCCATAGCCAGGCGGCATTAGCAGCTATCCTGGAGAAGTGCAGGACCCATGGAGTGCCAGAGGCATCTT